TTTTATTTTCGTATCATTTTCCTGATTATCAATTCCATTTTCATTCGTTCACTCAAACAAACGCAAGTTCATATAACTGTTGTTTTTGTTTTTCGACTGGAAAATATTGTCCCGAATTGCCCTCAGGGGAGCGAGCGCACAGCATGAAATTCGAAAGAAAAAACAAAGAAATATGCTGTAAAAAACTTTGCAGTTGCTAGAAACTTTTTACTATGATATGCGAGACATTTCGATGCGATTCGATTCGATTCCATTCGATTGGGTCTTGCTGCGGTCTGTCAATAGCTAAAGTTTGTGTGCTGCCCCACAGCAGTTCCGCCTGAATAGTTGAGGCTATGCTTTGGCGACTAATTAGTAATTCAGTTAACCAAATATGGGTGGTTAACTGTAATTACGCGGCGTGCCCAGCAGCAGCAGCAGCCGCAGTAGCAGTAGCAGTAGCAGCATCAAAGCATGTCAGTTACACGCGCTGCCAAGTGCGCCACACTTATGTCCCTATGTCTGTCGCATTATCAGATGTGGCCCAGTCCGTCCAGCGACACGCGGCTCATAAATTTCATGCAAATGAAATGCACACGGAGCAACTTTATGGGGTGAACAAAATATACAGAGAGAGAGAGAGGCAGAGGGAGAGGGAGAGAGAGAGGCTCAACCTCTTTTGTGATACGAGGCGGACCAAAAAGTTTCACGACATGTCTTTATAGCGCACCCAACCACACCCTGACAAACACACACACGCACACACACACAATCTTTGTGGCAGTTGCGTGTTTTGGCGTCTGCCACAAATTATGCTCATTATCATGTAGAGCAGCAGCAGCAGCAGCAGCAGGTCGTGCGCCTCGCTTGGCTTGGGCAAGGGCTTCTGCTTCAGCTTCAGCTTGGTCTTGGGCTGCCCTCAAAAGTATGCTATGCGAAATAAAAATGCCAGCTCGTAATTAAGCCTACCTCGGCACCAGCTAAAACATGGCAACAGAGGCGATAAAACGAATTTAAAATACCCTTGGGGCCCATACGCACAGCAGATTGAATTTGAAATTAAATAACGAACTTTAAATACCCTTGGGCATATAGAAAGATTGAGATATTTGCCACCCTTTTATTGTAAAAATAAGTTTAAATACCTCGGGGAATGTGTAGCGCTATGTAGTATAAAAGAAACTTTGTCTAGGGAGAAATCTTAAAGCAAGAACAGGAAAGAAATTTAATGAAGTTTAAATGATTAAGGAATAATAATTCCTCGACTTCACTTTCCATATTCCCTAACAAATTCAGAGCTCCTCAACTGTATACACTTTCCCAATGCCACTGACAGGTGATGTTTGTGTGGTTTGCTTTGTACTCTGCCAACTGCAGGCGACTGCACTAAAAAGTGTCCTTCATCATGTGATCCTTGTGCAGCTGATTGTTGTAGTTTTGTGTTTCGTGCTGTTTAAGAGTAAAACGCTGTTGAGTTCATTAAAAATTTGACTAAGTACGTTGTCATACTGCTCATCATGAGCCTCAGTGTCACAATCATCATTCGCCTCGCTGCGTACACCTCGTCGAGCCACTTCGTTCTTCTACTCTAACATGTCTTCATAGTGCCAGTGACAATGCCAGTGCCGACAGCAGAGCAGCCTACTTGAACTGTGCATATACGAGTGGCATCTACACACATACATACATACAAATATTTATATATGTTTGTGTACTTTCGTTTATCGCATTAAGCTTTCAGCGTCGCATAGAAATATGAAAATGATTTCGCCACGAATTGACGCCAAAATATGGCCGCAGCCTAATTTGGATTTATGAAGCATTAACAGCAATGGCAACAAAACAGGAAACGGAAATACATAAATTATTCAGCGTATTAAATGAGCTTAACGGTAATTCATAGCACTTAAATTGCGATACTCAATAGCAATTGATATTAAATGCTAATTGAAAATATACTTTCAAGCCCACTCGTGATTTCAGCCCCCTTCGAATGCTATCAATATTTTTGCTATGTTAAAATATGCATGAAGTGGGGGAGACGACAAAAATTCCATTAATTACATGTGCATGCTAGCTTTTTTAATATTTATAGACATTATTAATTAAAACACAATCAATTCAAAGCAATTCTATATAAATACATATATAAAATATTATTATATATAGTAAAAAGACTGTCAAATAAAAAATATAGATATAAAATAAATTACTTCTATATCGAATCAAATAAATAACTATAAAAATTAAAGTCATATTGAAACTGTTCAATTTTTAATAATAAAGTAATATATTTTTATTTAATATTGTAATATAATAAAATTAATATTGTAATATAATAAGTTAATTTTAGTGAATAAATGAAGGAAATAAGTGAATGTGCTGCAATAATATGATATATGTGCTACAATATGAAGTGAAGAGAGATTATATTGATTGTTTGAGTGACTGCATGATATATGAATAGATCAAAAAGTTTTGCTAAAATAATATTACTGAATAAATATTATATTCTATATTATATTCTATATTATATCTTAAAAAAAACCAAATATTAATAAATCAATTAAAAAATATATTTATCGTTGGAAAGAAGAAAAGTATTTAATATTTATATGATTAAAATGTTATAGAAATTTATTTTATAAACTATTTATAATTTAGATGCATTCAGGACTTATTTATACACTTTAAATAATATTAAATAATTAATTAAATGAAAAAAATTAATGTTTAATAAATAATAAAAAAAAAATGGCAACTCAATAAAACCGCCAAGCCAAAAGATAATATCAAAATATTATTGAATGAAAGCCACATAAAAAATGCTGACAATAATATTTTATAGCAATTCGTGTGCTCACGCTGCTCTCTCTCTGTCACTCTCTCTCTCTCTCTCTCTCCAGAGAGAGAGCCTGCTTCTCAGCACAGCATATACGCGCTCTGTTATGAATATGCGGCGCAAAGCGTAGCAGGCAATAGGTAGAAGAAGCAGCAGCAGGCAATGGAATGCCGTTGTATGTGGTGCTACGAAATCCCTCATGTGAAAATCAATAGAGGATACCGCTGAACAGCTGAGCCGCCGCCTGGCCGACAATGTAAACAGACGAAAGAGCGAGAGAGCAGAGAACGAGAGAGCAGTAGAGTATGAGAGAGTGTAACTATAAATAGGGCAAGAGTTGCACGTTCTCTCTCTCTCTCTCGCTCTCTGGGTCTGGGGAAAATTTCGTGACAGTATTTAGTAAAATTTTTGCGTTTTTCCACTTTAGTCAAACGCAGCTCTTCAACGTTGGCGGTAGCCGAATATCAAGCGGATCAACCTCGGCACACCACAACACACTAACACACATTAACACATACACACATACACAGACACACACATATATATGTATATCATATAAATAAATATATATATACACACACACATAGCAACGCGCCGCGACAGTGTGTGCCATATGTGTAATCAAAACGTAGCCCCGCCGCAACTAAGAGCAAAAGTTTATATATAGAAAATTTCAACGCGCACAGCTGAGGGAAAACTAAATTCGTTGTGCAGCTGAAAATAAATTTTGAACGGAAAACGAGCAACAAACAACAACAACAACAAGACAACATCTAGCACAATTTATACAAAACGTGAATTTCTCGTAACTAGATTTTCAACTTAATTCCTGCAATATTTCGCAAATATTACGCATACGCCGCGTGTGCTGGAAAAGTATTTAACTGACGTAAAAAAAAAAAGAAAGAAAGAAAGAAAGAAAATAACGTGTGGCGCCAGCGTCGGCGTCGCTGCTGACGTCGCGACTCCACCCAAAATTGTATACCAAATTTGGTAGCAAATGCAGTGAGTTAGTTAGTAACGCTGAGTGGAGTGAGTGCGTGTGTGCGAGTGAGTGTCTCTGAGTGTGTATTTCGGTTGTGCACAACCACAGCCAAGGAGTAACACAACAAATACACGTTTGAAACATGCCAGCAAAATGTTTGGTACATGCGAAAAGTTGATGACACATTTTGCTGTCATTTTGACCGCATTTCTGGCCGCTCAGCCTCTGTTATTGCTGCTCATTTGCGGTCCCCCAGCGACGCGGCATGCCGGCCCCGCCTCTTCCACATTTATGGTGCACGCCTCTGCCGCGGATGAAGCGTAAGTGGCAAAAGCCAAAAATTTGTTTATCAAAATTTTGATAGATATTCTTTTCGAGTTATATATATTTATTTTTGTTACCAAGTTTTATTAAATGGATAAGTCCATAAGTCCATTAAAGGGCGTGTTAGCCATCATCTTCATCATTATCATTATCATCATCAGCAACATCGTCTCTCTCTCAGCCTCGCCCTCGTCGCTCGTTAATTTTTCGTACATTTTATGCTGATTTTTTTTGTTCGCTGTTTTTTGTTGCTTTTGTTTTTGTTTTTGTTTTTGGCAGCCACCTCACGTTTCTTATTGGGAATGCGCTGCGT